TAACTTGCGTTACTTGTAATATATTACCCCACAACACTGCTTGCAATATTACTGTTTTAGTGTATGATTACGTAACTTGCGTTACTTGTAATATATTACCCCACAACACTGCTTGCAATATTACTGTTTTAGTGTATGATTACGTAACTTGCGTTACTTGTAATATATTACCCCACAACACTGCTTGCAATATTACTGTTTTAGTGTATGATTACGTAACTTGCGTTACTTGTAATATATTACCCCACAACACTGCTTGCAATATTACTGTTTTAGTGTATTTTTGATTAAATAAATGCTTGGTCGTCAGATTTCCTTCTTTTCAAAAAATGTTTAACTGTAGATTATAAAATTTTAAATGTTGTCACCCTATTGACTAATCATTTCTGCACCACTAGTGGCGGCAAACAAAATTGCACAAATAATTGTGTCCAAACAAAAACACTCCCAAAAGCCTGTCTTCTATTGTTTTGTCAAAACAGACAGTTCCCCATTGGCTGAATCATAAGTTGACATGTTGAACCACCACTCTTCAGGATTTTAATTAACGAATAGCATGCTTACAGTCTTCTCTGCACATTAAACTGGGATAAGAGAAAGTACTTTACCAGTGAAAAAATATGCACTTCACCTTTAAGGGCTTTCGAATTCCGGATGACTCAGTAGCGGCTATTTCGGTCTCAGGAACCGAACGGTTTCTCACAAACATGATAATGAGCTGCAGTGATGGTGAGCAACAAAAATATGTTTGTGAAATGTATCAGATTTTTAATAAACTGCAGGGAGGATTAAAAACGACACTTCATCACGATGGCCCTTGAGTATGTTTTGACACCTCTGCACAAAAGTGAACCGCCATGAGCCAGGTGTTGAATCATGCCAGACCTAGTACAGAGTTACATAAGGAGAATTATCACCCACTCTTTCTCTCTCCTTCCTCTAGCATCACACCCACTCCTCCCGCTCGCTAATCCTCACGCATGGCCCAAATGAATCACCATATTCTCTGCTTTGCCCTCTCACACGCACACAAACACACAATTTCCTGAGCAAATAGCCCTTGGGGGGTTTATCGATTCTGCTGAGCTTCAGTCAGATCAACTTAAGAAGAGTGAGGCAGCTGTTCTTGGCTAAGTGCTAGCTCGCTCTCTGTGTGTGTGTGTGTGTGTGTGTGTGGAGGTTGTTACCTGAGGGGTGAGGCTGAGCTCGGGTGATCTCTCACTGTCCGAGCTGTTTGTGCGTTCACTGAGCGGTTTGGACAGCTGTCTCTCTTTCATAGGGGTCCCTCGCCTCTGTTTGGGGGTATGACTGCCATCCAGTCTGGGGAGAATTGCACAGCTGCTTTTATTTGCTACACACTCCATTTCATCTCAATATGTGCACAAGAGTCTAAAACAAGCAAGCAACAATCCTATTTAAGAGTATAATTTCATGAACTGTAGCAAATCTCAGTAAAAGAAAAAGGAACTATGTAGGCCTACATATTTGTGGATAGAATAGATCTGGAGTGGGCGGTTTGACCAAAATATCATGGTACGAATAATTTCATATCATGCCAGAACTGTACATTTTCAGAACTATAAAGTTGCATTGCAACGATTTGTATCGTGATAAGCGCTATACAAATAAACTTGAATTGAATTGTACATAAAAGAATATTTAACATTTTACAATTGAAATATTGAAAATATATTGTTCCCTTTCAGTCAGTCACGTTCTACGTTACGTTAGTCGTGACTGACGTATTGGGATCTCGCCCGAGAGCCCAATCACCTTCGAGTGTAAACTAAACAAGCCAATGACAGTTGGCGTGCGTGTTTCGCCACGCGCACCCCGCCCCGCAGCGCGGGTATAAAAGGAGAGCACGTGCAAACGCACATCAGCTTTTCGCTTCGGAGCCGAGCCTTCTCAGGACGAATCTCCTCGAGTGTTCGGAAGAAACAGCTGGCGTTGGTGTTACGGCGCGTCAGCGGGGGTTGCCATTCAGTGCTGCTCATCTTCGGCGTGCTGCAGCTGCCATTCTGCGGTCTCGCCGCGACCTCCCCTGGGCACTTCAGCGCTCTCTAAAAGAGTGGTTTTTTTTTTCCTAAAAGAGCAAATATCTAAAAGAGTTCCACGAGTGACGGGCGTCTTTTTAAAGATGGCTTCCCGCTCGTGCGTTTCTGGATGCGGTCGTTTCCTGCCTTCATCTGACGGTCATGATCACTGCCTCTCGTGCCTGGGCTTACAGCACGCTGAAGCAGCGCTCATGGATGAGTCATGTTCTCACTGCGGGAACATGACCATCGCGACATTGCGGTCCAGATACCTCCTCATTAAACGGGGGGGTATCCCCCTTGCCATGCCCCGCTCTAGCTCCTCTGGTTCTCGGAGGGCTACTTCGGTTCATGGTCAGGGAGACCTGAGGGTTACGGTGAGAGCTTCCCCGTCGAGTACGTCTCCGCGGGCCTCTCATTCCTCGAGCATGTGGCACCACCTGGTGCTTCCGGACGAGTGTGCTGGGTCCTCGGACAGGGCGGGGTCTAGCATCTTGTGCGGGGCACAGGCAGAGGACAGGATGTCGGTCGCTGCATCGGAGGGCGAGCTAGGCTCTGGAGATGAGGATTCGGCTGCGCTGCCACTGTCAGGTAGAGTGGCGTTGCCCGAGTCAGATCCGGAGCTGACCGCTATGCTTTCCCGGGCTGCTGAGAGTGTCGGGCTGCACTGGAGGCCTCCTCCTTCTCCCGAACGCTCGAGGCTGGATGATTGGTTCCTGGGGGCGCAGGCCGGGCGTCGGCAGCCGCCTCCGGTTCCATTCTTCCCGGAAGTGCATGAAGAGGTTACTAAGTCTTGGAAGGCACCTTTTTCTGCCCGAAACAGACTTGGTGCCTCCTCCGTCCTCACCACCCTCGACGGGGGGGCGGCCCAAGGGTATGTGGACATCCCTCCGGTTGAACACGCTATTGCCATGCAGCTCTGCCCGCAAAGCGCCGCCGCCTGGAGGGGTAGTCCACGCCTTCCGTCCAGGGCCTGTAAGTTCTCGTCCGCTCTGACGGCTAAGGCTTACAGTGCTGCTGGACAGGCCGCTTCCGCCCTGCACGCCATGGCCCTCCTGCAAGTCCACCAGGCCAAGGCGTTGAAGCAGCTGCACGAGGGTGGTGCTGACCCAGGTGTGCTGCAGGAACTGCGCACGGCGACGGACCTCGCGCTTAGGGCGATGAAAGTCACGGCGTGGGCCCTGGGTCAGATGATGTCCACGTTGGTGGTCCAGGAGCGCCACCTATGGCTGACCTTGGCGGATATGAGGGAGGCCGACAAGCATCGCTTCCTGGACTCCCCAATCTCCCAGGCCGGCCTATCCGGCGAAGCGGTGGAGGGTTTTGCCCAACAGTTCTCTGCCGCACAGAAGCAGACGGAGGCATTTCGACACATCCTGCCCGGCGGTCTGCTGCTGTCTGCACCCCACCGCCGGCTGCAGCCCCTCTGTCTGCTCGTCGCCGAGGGCGCCCTCCTGCGGCCTCCACCTCCGCTCCGGCGCAGCCACAACAGCAGCCTTCACAACGGCCGCAGCGTGGAGCTGGCCGCAGGAAACCGGCGCAGCCCGCCTCCGCCTCTGCCAAGCCCGTGAAGCGCCTGAGCAGGCGGCGTCCCTGAGACGGGTGACCCGGAGCTCTTGGATCCTGCTCTTCAGGAGATGGTGACTGCACCACTCCTTCCCCCGGAGGAGGGCCGGGTGGAGAATCTTATGTTTCCATTTGTTTTTGTTCCCAAAACTTCAATAAAAGAGCAGTTTCCTTTGCCTCCGGGTCCCAAGAGGGTGAGGATAGTGGTGCACGAGACCCTGTCTCCACATGGCCGTTCCCCTCTCCTTTCGCCGATGGGGAGCAGGGTCTGGTTCGGGAGCCAGGTAAGTGATGCGCCGCGCACTCAGACCCCACCCTCGGACACACGGCCTCCCGGGTTGGGTCCCTGTGTTCCACCTTGCTGCCCCACTGCAGGTACGTCGGTGGTTTCCCTGGTCCCGCTAGTTTGGTTGCTGGGGGCCTGGTTAGCACTCCCCAGGCCGTCTCATGAGAACCATCAGACTCAGCTACGTGATTCAATTCGCCCGGCGCCCTCCCAAGATCAGGGGCATTCGGTTCACCTCGGTGCTGGACAAGGATGCTCCTGTCTTGCGTGCAGAAATCTCGGTCCTGCTGGCGAAGGACGCGATACAGCTGGTCCCTCCAGCCAAGATGAGGTCGGGTTTCTACAGCCCGTACTTCATCGTACCCAAGAAAGACGGTGGGTTACGACCGATCCTGGCCCTGCGCGTTCTGAACCGGGCCCTTCACAAGCTCCCGTTCAGGATGTTGACGCAGAAACGCATCTTTCAATGTGTCCGTCCCTTCGATTGGTTCGCAGACAGACTGTTTCTCCGCTTTGCATTCGAAGGGCAAGCGTATCAGTACAAGGTCCTCCCCTTCGGGCTATCCCTGTCGCCTCGTGTCTTCACCAAGGTCGTGGAGGCAGCCCTCGTTCCATTGAGGGAAGCGGGCATTCGCGTTGCTCTCACGCCCGCCCGCCCTCCCGGGAGAATGGTGCCTCCCCCCCGAGACAGTCCAGCTGATTTGGAGATGCTTTGGGGACGCTCAGGTAGACCTGTTTGCCTCCCCGGACACGTCCCATTGCCAGTTGTTTTACACCCTGGCCGAGGGAACCCTCGGCACGGACGCTGGCCTCGGGGCCTACGCAAATATGCATTTTCCCCAGTGAGCCTTCTCACACAGACACTGTGCAAGGTCAGGGAGGACGAGGAGCAGGTCCTCTTGGTAGCGCCATATTGGCCCAGTCGGACTTGGTTCCCCGAACTGATGCTCCACGCGACAGCCCCTCCTTTCTCAGAGAGGGGGCGCCCTCGGGCACCCGCGTCCAGACTTTTGGAATCTCCACTTGTGGTCCCTGGACAAGGCATTCTCGGTCGACGATTCGTGCCTAGAATTCGGGACGGGTAACTCTCACGTTGTCCTGAGACCCCGGCCCGGATATGTGCCCAAAGTTCCCACCACGCCTTTCAGGGATCAGGTGGTGAACTTGCAAGCACTGCCCCGGGAGGAGGCAGACCCAGTCGTCGCTCTGCTCTGTCCTGTTCGCGCTTTGCGCGGTTACATGGACCGTACGCAGAGCTTCAGGACCTCAGACCAGCTCTTTGTCTGCT